GAAAAGTGAGAGAGCAGGTCAACATTAGCCTATAAACTAATGTTAAGGGTAAATAATAAAAGCCTGGATTTACTAGTGTATGATAAGAGAAAGAAGTAAATAACCTTAATTAAAGTGAAGATAACATAATGAGACTGACTCTTACATAAACTGTCCAATTGAGATAAAGAAAGTGTATGATATTGCAAATGAACTAAGCTTGCTTTATAACTGGAGGGTGAGAACAGTTTCTTATGTTTTGACAAGGGGCGGGGTAGTGACAGAGTCGCACAGATGGCCTATCTTCATCTTGAAATCCCACTGCCTATCAAGGTATTTAAATTAGTTGACTTGCTGTATAACACCCATTCCAAAACTTAATGCCTCCAAAACCCAACGTTTTTTATTCCCTCAATTCTGGGGGTGGGCTGAATAAGCTGTTCTGCTCATTTTATTAGGACGCTCATGTGTGTAAAATCAACTGGAAGATAACAGCAAGTTCTAACCTGGCCTCCTTCCCATGGCTCTCGTGGTGTTGACAGGTGGCTGGGTGTCTCTGTTCTCTTCTGTGTGTCCACTTGCACTCCTGAAGCTAGACCAGCCCTGCCAGCTTCCTTACATAGCAGTATTAGAGCAGCATTCCAAGAAGACAGAGGCAGAAGCTACAAGCCTCATGAGGCCTAGATTCCAGACTCACAGGACATCATTTTGGCCACATTCTAGTGGTCAAAGCAAGTCACAAGACCAGCCCAGATTCACAGAACAGGGAAACAGTCTCCACCTCTTTCCATCTTTAGTGTTTAAAAAGACCCTGAAAAGCATATCACTGAATAAGTGGTAGAGAATGGAGGATGAACAGATTAACAGAAATTCAAGATGGTACAAAGAGATCGAGTGCTATAAATCTGGGGACAGTAACACCAACTATGATACAAAACTCGTACACAGCATTTACCACCTGGCAGGCTTTGTTAAAGGAATTTTCACATAATTCCTCATTTACTCCTCCCAGACATCCTTGAGAGAGATGTTTTTTATTACCACTCTTCTACATATGTGAAAAGCAGGTACAGAAAAGTTAAATAATTTTCCAGCAAAGCCATACAACCAGCAAGAGGCAGAGCTGGTCTTCAAAGCCAAGTAGACAGAGTTTAAAATCTATGCTTTTAACCTGTATTCTTTAATGCTAAAAAACAAAAGGCAGCCCCCAAATAACCTCATATATACTTTATATACTCTAGATGTCTTATTATTAGGGTAATAAAAAATTTTAAATATGTAGTGGGCAACAATAGTAAACTGTTTTTTTTTTTTGCAGTTTTTAGCCGGGACTGGGTTTGAACCCACTACCTCAGGCATATGGGGCTGGCGCCCTATTCCTTTGAGCCACAGGCACCACCCAACAATAGTAAATGTTTTTTAAAAATTTTTTTTAATTAAATTTAAGGAAGCCCTTATATTTCCTATATTTGTAATAATTTATTCATTTCAGAGGAGTCTCAAATCCCCTCAGTTACATAAATGCAATTGGCTTAATTGCTTTTGTGGCAACTGAATCATTTTTTTTTTAACCAGCTACAGCTAAGCAAGTATTTAGCAGCATATGTAAAATAGATCACTCAGGGTGAGAAAATTGTTCCATAATTTAAAGACAATATTTTTATTTCATTTTAATTTCTTTTTCTTTCTTTCTTTCTTTCTTTCTTTTTTTTTTTTATTGTAGAGACAGAGTCTCACTTTATCGTCCTCAGTAGAGTGCTGTGGCATCACACAGCTCACAGCAACCTCTAACTCCTTAGGCGATTCTCTTGCCTCAGTCTCCTGAGTACCTGGCACTTCAGGCACTCACCACAACACCCGGCTATTTTTTTGTTGCACTTTGGCCAGGGTCAGGTTTGAACCCGCCACCCTCAGTATATGGGGCCGGCACCAGACCACTGACCCCACAGGTGCTGCCCTCCTTTTAACTTCTGAAAAATTTACTAATTTATAGAATGTTGTGCATCCATAGCATTTGATTTCAAGAAGTTATTATTATTTGATACTAAAGTACTACTACTTTATATCTGTTTCTGAGCATTAGCACATTAAAAGGTCATGCATTATGGGGTCCAATTACTTCTTGTCTCTTACACATGGCAAAATATTGGAATCTCTGTCAAACACTCCCTGAACTTCAGTAGTGGCTCCTAATCATTGTGACAACAAAATTTTCCCAAAATATTGAAAGTGCTCCCTATGCAGGGCACCACCCTGCTGTTGTCACTGAGCCCACCCACTTTTTAATCTCATCTTTTTGCCCTTGTGCCCGTTGCACACTCTCCTTCAAGCCCACTGCTTTAAGGGCTTTCCCATCTGTGATTTGCATGTTCCTTCCCTGTGTGGTGCAATCCCTTGCTTTCTCCTGGTCTCTATTTAGGCACCCTATTATTACTGAACTTTGACCATTCTTTATGAATTATGGAGATTTCCCACCCAAACTAGGATTCCTTCTCTCTAGTTTATCCTATTTACTTTTTCTCCACTGTTCTTTTTTTCTTTTTTTGCAGTTTTTGCAGTTTTGGGCCAGGGCTAGGTTCGAACATGCCACCTCCAGTATATGGAGCCAGTGGCCTACTCCTTTGAGCCACAGGCGTCACCCTTCTCCAGTATCTTTTATAGGACAGGACAGTGCAGTGATTTAGCCAATGACCTCTAATGTTAAACGGCCTGGTTGGAGGAACTGCTACTGGCTACCAGGGGACATGGGGCAATTTACATGAGTCTGTGTGCCTCCGTTTTCTAGTCTTTGAAATGCAGATGATCATTCCTGTCTGAAAAGATTGTCTTAAAGACATATGAATTAACACACATAAAGTACTTAAGGCAGTGCTTAGCTTTAAATGCCATGTGAATTTGTGTTATGATTGTCTTACATACTAGTGCAAGTTTATTGCCTGTCCTTTTCTGGTATAAAGTAAGCTCCAGGAGGGCAGGGACTTGGTTCAATGCTGTATCTCCAGAGCCTAGAAGAATGCCTTAGAGGAAGCTGGGCATGGCAGCGTACACCTGTAAGTCCCAACCACATGGAAAGCTGAGGCAGGAGGAGGGATCACTTGAACCCACGAGTTCAAAAACAGGGCTGGGCAACATAACATGACCACATCTCTAGAAAAAAAAGTGTGAAAAAAGAGTGCCTAGAGTATGCTTCATGAGTTTTACTGAATGAAAAGACAGTCATAAAGTTAGATTCCACAACTAGGTAGTTTTTACATAACTTACAAAGCTCTTTCACTTTAAAAGAAAATATTGTAAAAGAAGGAAGATATTATTTTCTATGTGTAAACTAAGTTGAATAAGGCAAAACCACTTGCCCATCCAGTGGTCTTGTTGATAAGCAATGGACTTAGAAACTGAACTTGTGTCTTATAAGTTTTCTCTCTCCTGGCTTGGTGCCTATAGCTCAACCGGCTAAGGCACCAGCCATGTACACCTAAGGTGGCGGGTTCAAATCCCCAGCCTGGACCTGCCAAACAACAATGACGGCTGCAACCAAAAAATAGCTGGGCGTTGTGGCGGGCGCCTGTGGTCCCAGCTACTTGGGAGGCGGAGGCAGGAGACTCGCTTGAGCCCAGGAGTTGGAGGTTGCTGTGAGCTGTAATGCCATAGCACTCTACCCAGGGGGACAGCTTGAGGCTCTGTTTCAAAAAAAAAAAAGTTTTCTCTCTCCTCTTTATGTTTTTCTCTCTCTTTCTCTTGAACAGTCTCAGGCTATTCATTTTTAAATGCATTGCTTTATTTAAAAAAAGAAAAAAAGAAAGAAAACTCAGTAATGATTTTGAGATTCAAACCTTCACAGCTGAATGGAAAAAAATGAAAAAAATATTTTCAGAAGTACATTCATGAGCAATGAGATAGGTGTAGATTTCCTGCCTAAATTTAGTCATTTTCTTCAAAATCTACAACCCAGGTAATAGCATAGCACAACTCAATCCTGATTACTCTCTTTGGGGGAGGGGAGATAATGTTGAATATTTGAAATATGATCATGCATGGAATCATAAATTTTAAGACCTAGATAGTGTCCATTTACCTGAGCAGCTTTTCAAGCCTAGAGAAATGTTTTATACTCGTTTTGCTTACAGAATTAAAAAAAAAAAACGAATCAATTATGAGTCTTCTGCTGCGACTCAGCAGAGGCGATATTAGACAATGAAAATAAACACCATTTTTAATAGAAATTTATTCATGATCACACAAATATTGAACACGCAAATTCAAATTTGAGCATGATTTTTTGAGAATTATTTCAAAGCCAAAACACCGTTACATCCCTTAAAGTAATCTCCATATTTATGTTATTTTGCTATTCTTTCCTATGAAAGTATTTTTATATTTGAAACACACTATCATCTTCCTATTAAAAATTGGAGTCTAATAATAATATGTATGTAAATGCTCTCTATGTTCTGATGGAAAGACTGGTAAACAGAGATACAAGATAATAAGATAGTCTCAGCTGACTTTAGCTCCCCACTTTCCAATCTTAACTATGTCATTTATCTGTATTTCTGTTTTTGAAGCTGGAAAACTGCAATATCCACAATATTTGTCCTGTTTGATTTGTAGAATAATGATGCTCATAATAATAATGATAATAATTAATACCATGACCTCTTTTTCCTTGAGAACCTCCTATGTGTGGGTCAATGTGTTGGGATGTTTATACGTAGATTGTCACTGAACCACTGAACTAGCCCTGTGGGCTTAACATCATTATCTCCATTCCACATATGGGGAAAGAGGTGTGCCTTTCTCCAAGGCTTAGACTTCTTTAAAAAAAATTATATTTTAATGTTTTTCCCGTAACTTGTAACCCGGAAAAATCAGTGATTAAATCTACACTTAACCAGGTGTTAAGCATCAAGATGATTAAAAAAAAAAAAAAAGAAAAGAAAAGAAATGAGAATAACAAAACTCACTGAAGCAAAGAATAAATTTCTTTTCCCGGCTGCAGGAGGAAAAGGCAGCAGCTCTCCTACCTCGTAAGTGCTGGTGATGCCAGATCTGTAGAACACAGGGAGAAAGAGCTCTGACGTCAGGATGATGACAAATGCATAGGCGATGAAGAAGAGTATGAAGGACGCCCCGAAGCGGTAGACCTCGGCAGGGGTCCCCAGCACGGTGACCGCTGACATGAAGCTGGCTGTCAGGGACAAGGCTACGGGGCCAAAGCTCATTTGCCTTCCTCCCACCAGGAACTCCCGGGAAGTTGCCTTTTTTCTCTCCTTAATGGCAAAGAACACCCCAATTCCAGAGGAAATGACAAAGAGGGCTGCAAACACGACATAATCCCAAACTGCAAAGTTCTTCACCTCCATGCTGAGAAGTTTAGCACCAGAGAGTGGCTTTCACCCAGGTCTCAGAGAGATGTTTCCAAAAGCACGGCTTAGCACAGCAGATGCTGTGATTCTTTGAGAACAAGGATGACCAGAGGCACCTGTGTGAATCTTCACACACCCAGTTGTATTCAGAGAAGATCTCAAAAGTGGACTGCAAAGAAGAATCTGGTAGTGGTATCGGTACCAAGAGATGAGAAGTTGAGATCAGACCTTGGTCAAGAGCTGTCTGTTCTTCTCCTGAAGCATATGTCATAGAGAAGGAATTCAGATGTGTTCTGAAATTAATAACCACTGGGGGTGGAATGGACCTGCCAGATAACATGCTCTTTTATCTCCTAGATTTTTTTTAAGTGAAGGTTAAACATTACTGGGGAACATGGAATTGATAAAAATTAACCACCTCAGCATTTTTAATTAGTGAGATGGAATCTGTAAAATGCAAACACCACGCTCAGCACTGTCTTTCTCCTGACAGAGGGAGGGTGGAGGATTGTGTGCAAGCAATTCCTGGAGGCAGTGGGTGTGGAAGGAAAGGAGCAAAGGACTAGGAAGCCAAAGACCTTTGCTCAAGTCCTGGCTCAGCTGTGAATGAACTGCAATGCTTTTGACAAATCATTAAACTTTTCTGAACTTCACCATGAATACTGGGATAATAAGACCTCAGGAGGTTGTTATGAGTTTAAGTCTTCAACTGCCTAACCCTCTTAAGCCCTGGATCTGTAAAATAAAAGGTAATATACCTACCTCACTGGCTACCATTTGTGCTTACCGTGGCTCACTCCTGAATAGAATAATTTAATCTCTGTGGACTCTAGGTCTCAGGAAATGGATTTACCAACAACTAATACTTTTTTTTAGAGCCCTCAATATTGTCTTTTCCTTCCCCCTTCATTTTCACCAGGTGTCAATATCTACTTATACACAGATGCTATGTCAGAGTTAGGTCTAGGACAAATGAGAAAATGAAGGTGAAAATTCAGTTATAAATTCCTGTTTTGGCTTTCATGAGACTCATCTGTCAACTGTCCTCAATTATTTCCAGCAGGATTTTTGGGGTACAATTTCTCATTGAGTTCATACTCCCCCTGCCTCCCTACCGACCTGGACAAAAGCTACAATCTTTATGAGATCGTGTTTAAGTCTCCTCTTCTCTATGGAGTTTTACCTCCCCCTCCTTCCCAAATCCTGTAAAAAGTAGCCTCTCTCAGCACTCTCACACCATAATCATCCTCACCTATTTTTAGGAATCTCTGTGTGACTGTCTGGAGGAATCTGGTAGTTATTGCAAATGACTAGTTCCTTAAAGACAGAAGCAAAAAGTCTAGTTTATATACCCAACACAGAGTAGCCATCAGAGGAAATAAGGAAAAAAATTAAAAAAGAAGAAAACTGAAATTATCCATAATGCCCCCAAAACAGAAACAACTCCAAACAGAGGAAACTCTGATTTTGCTGTTGACCTCTAGATAACTGAGTAAGTCTTTGATTATTGGTTTGATCTGAATACTGTCCTCACTCCCTATTTTGCTCCAGGAATTTGAATTAGGCCCAGAAAACTCTAATGGCTAAAATATCCTTTTAGTTACAAATAGTGATATGATGACTTTCCCAGGAGCTGTCTGTGCTTCTAGATTCAGAGAGTTACAATGATCAAAGCTAATGGCAAACTAAGTCTTGACCATGTACCTTCACCTACGCTTTTCATTATTTGTCTCGTGAGGTATTCTAATTATGTAACATGTTTTTGTTGTAGTGGTTTCAGTAGAAAATCAGAACTTTATTTGGCTTTCAGAAGCTCGACTGTTTTACTTTAATATTAACGATGCTTAATGTTAATATTCAATCTACAAGACATGTAAACAACTTGTATGAGCCAGGTTAATACTGGCTCAAAACATTATCATTATATCTGTGAGATCCCAAGGTTGAATACTAGAATTCTACATATAACTGAAGGCTCAGTGAGCACGGCTGGTTTTAGTTAAAGTTTATGCAGATACAGTATCATCTTCAGGACTCCAATTATCCTTGAATTTCAAAGCAGTGGGGAGCAGAGTGGCTAATATCTAGCATGTAAAGGAACATGCATGTCTTTTATAGTAAACCATTCCTTGCTTTCAACATTTTGCTAATTACTAAGGCATGGCATCGATTTATTAATTTAATTTTCAATTATTTTCTACATATATACACCTTCATCCCATTGGTAGTGTCCTCACTCCTCTCTTTCTCTTTCAACTAAGACTTAGATTCACGCTAATTGTAAGGCATAGATAACATCAACTTATTAATACTCTTTCAAAGAAAAAAATAAGCACCAGTACATTCAATGGCTACATCAATTAGAAAGCACATTCCCCCTAAGAAATGTTAATATGGAGATAAAAAGGAGGAAAAATGCACCCCTTTGACCTGAAGGAACTCCTTTCAGTGTACCAAATGCTGTCCTTCATGTTCAATCTCTTTAGTGCAAAGCTCACACCCCTGGGAGAATATAAACTCCATCACTTGAGATACACACATGGTCCCAACAATGTTTTGCCATCCAATTACCCACCTGCCTTATGGGTTAAATTTGTAATTATTAATATTAATGGTCTCTGTAGTATAAAACAGTTCTGGAAATTGCATGAAACAAGTCATAATGGGAAAGAGAAAGAGATTTTGAAGCATTGAGTGAATGCTAAGGGAAAAAAGGATAAAGAACCAGAAAGTTGGGGTGTTCAAAAAGAGGACACCATTATTGCAAGGTTGGAGAGAGCAGACCGTGCACACCACATTGATTTTGGCTTAGGGTGGAGGGGGAAAAATGCCCATGGACAGGCGTTGGCCATTTGAGACTGGACTTAGCATTTCTGATACAGGAATATGGCTTCCAATTGATGTAGCTGTTCAATGTACTACTTTCTTATTTTTCTCCCTCCTCCACTTTCTATAGTAAAGGGAAGAGTAATTTGAGAAGCCTAAAGGATTTGAGGAGTTGACACTTGAATTTTATTCGCATACCCTTGCTAGAAAAAATAAAAATTATTTCCCAGGCCCATTTGTTTTAAGTGGGAGATAACCTTTAGTTACATGAAAGACTGAGGCTCTTTTTCTACCTTCTTACTAAGCCATCTTGTGATTTGAGACAGGCCACTTAATTTCTCTTGTTCTTAGCTACACTACAACACTGCAAAAAAAATAGTTTGTCAGATTAATAACTAGATAAACTACATCAAGGTAAGTAAATAAATCACTTTGTCAAGTCTTCCTTGACCAACATAAGTTAGAACCCCCCACACTCCAAATCTCCCTTTTCTTCTGTATTCCTCTCCATGAGATGTCTCTCCTACTAGTCTATTACGTATTTTCAAAGTCAGCATCCCTCCACTTGAATGTAAGCTCTAAGGGGCTTCCCTCATGCTCAATGATGTACCCTTAGGACTTAGAACTTCCTGCCTCATAGTAGACACTCAATAAATTAAACTAAATTATTTCAATGGTAGGAGTCCCTTCCATCTTTAAAACTTATTCCTGTTTTATTGGGGGGGTGGGGAGGAGAAAAATATTTTTCTAAAGCTTTTATTTTTAAACTATGCCCCAAATATTTATCTATCCACAAACACGTTTCCACATGAATAAAGCTGAAAATTATATTCTATCCTATCAGATTCCCAGAATTGATTACAACTGAATGTGACTATAGTTAAGCCTTTATTAACTCATTCTACATACACTTTGGAAATAAGAAAACAGATGTTGCCTCAAATCTTTAAAAGGCAAACTTCAGAGTTCACATAAAAAGGTCAGAAGAGAACATTATTTAATATTAAAACAGACTCATGGCAGCACCATTGCACAGTACACAAGTAGAACATTTAAGAAAAATATTCCACTGGGTGGGCAGTCGAGCATGAGGGTGAAGGTCCTTCGCTAATAGTCTCAGGGATCCCGAGTAACCCCTCCATTACAAACCAGCAAAGGGGAAAACCCAGCGTGACCTCCTATGGGCTTGATTTTGTCAAATAAGCAAAAAGGGAAAGAATCTCTTATTTGTCTCAGGCTTCTAGGCAGTAAAATTGTAGTTTTGAATAAGCCACAAAGGAGAATAAAATCCTGTAATACCTTTTAAATAAATAGAATGTGAGTTAAACTCAAGAAAGCTTTAATATTAAGTGCTTATTTTAATTACTAAAATTCTTTGGACATATACTTCACACAAGTTCAGAGGCAATTCTATCAATTACCACTAACACTCTTTAGTCCTTCACTTCTTATCAGTTCCATTGTTGCTCATACCATCCCTGCGGGGCATCGGGCATCACTGAGAATGGATAACTTTTGCATATTTCCTAAACTGAAAACCACTGAGTATTTGTCTTCACTAAGAACACACAAATAAATACGTCCAAATGTGTCCCATTTATTGGTTGACATGATCAACCAAATCATGGTTTCAATTCCATCATTGGAAAACAAACTAATAAAGCCCAGAAAACAAACAAAAATCTGTATGCTTTAGTTACCATTACTCACACATTTTTATAAGATTTATTTGCAGTACTCCCTTAATTTGGGTGATGTGTTCGGTGACATATCAAAGACATTTCTACCCTTCTTCATAATGATCAGGTTGGTAATAATGAAGGTCTGCAGGTCACACTTCTTCCCCAGGTGTGATATTTGTGTGTGTGTGTACTGCTTACACATATAAGACATACAAGTCTTTGGGAATGCTACTTAAAAGGCTTGATTTCTTTATGAAGATAGTCGCCAGACCCTGGACGGTTTTAATTTTAGTTCATGATACATGAGAAATTGATCATAAAAAAGCGTCCCCATCAGATTCACCTTTTCAGGTACCTAGTTAGAAATTATTTACAGTAATAAGAAATACTTTTTCTCACAGTAAAATCAGACAAGTCTGAATTCAGACCTCCAGTTCATACATCTGCCATCTACCACCTTTGGGGAAAGTTTCTTTACATATCTGAGTT